GTGTTTTAGGTCAGTAGGGGGCCTCTAATCCTGCTGCAAAGTCTCTCTTGATCAGATCAAATTGTCCATAATCTTGTGCCAAAAGAGATTTAGCTTGTACTTGTTTGATTTTCAAATTGACATAAAGTGAACTTTTGCAAAAATGGATAGTTTACTTTTTCCAAATTGGGATTAATCCTCTAGACAAAGCTTGAACTCAAAGAACTTGGTCTTGGTACAAAGAATATGCATTAAATTTATGAGTGTAACTTGGTTTAAGGACCTGTAATCAAGGGCATGCTGGTTTTGAGAAGTTGCATAATCTTATGAACATGAAAAATGGCCAATTCAAAAGTGAGTTTTTGCTATATTGTGAAATTCGATTCTCCCTAACCATGAGGTTGTTTGAGAAGTTCTTGGACATTTTGGAAAGCTTGAAATGTGTACTAAAATCCATCTTTGAAATGAAAATTGAAATTCCAAGTGGAAGGGTATGAAAAATGGCCTTGAAGTGGGGTAGAAAACCTTGTCAAAATAGGTTAAAATTCTACTAAGTTAAAAATGGTTTAGTGCCCTTATTCAAAAAATTGTAACTTGAGATACAAGCTTCAAATGATAAAACTTTGTGAATCAAATTTGTATATTATGCAACAAGCTACAACTTTCATGTTTTGACTTTTGTTTGAATCCAAATGGATCTTGGTGAAAAGGTGGGGCAAAGTTGGGAAAAAATTAGGGTTTTTCATAACTTAGAAAAATTCTAAGTTATGAAAAATTCCATTTTCTAACCCTAATTTGCAATTTGTGATTTCTTGGTGAACAAGTTTCATGATTTGGCATATTTTGATGAAAAATGAATCTTGACTCTTGATTTTGACCAAAAAGTCAAAGTTTGACTTTTCAATATACAGTCAAAACTGATCAATTGACTGAGAAATTCAACTGTCAATCTTGTGTACTTGGGATCTTTTGAACTTGTTGAGCATGTCAAGATAATTCCATGGGGTCCTTGAGTCCATTTGTGAGCTTGGTTTACCATTGGCTAGGTCAAACAGTCAAAAATTGCCTTTGTACAGTCAAAACCCTAAAAATGACCATTTTGCCCTTTTAGTGATCTGATCAAATTTCTTGTGGAATTGTGATCCAAACTTGATCAAATGGACCATATGAGTTCATAATGTTGATGTGGATCAAATTTCATGAGATTTGACTGTCAATTGGCCATAGTTGACTTTTTTCCCCAATACAGTTGATTTCTAGGTCAACTGTCCAATTGACTGGGCAAAACTTGGAATCAAGGCTTGAAATTTGATATGGGTAAACTTGGGAGTCCAATATGAAGCATGAAAGTCATCTTAGGCATTTTAGGTCAAGATATCTTTGTGCAAACACAAACCCTAATTTTGAGTCCACAGTGCAAGGAGAGGTCTTGAGCAGATGAAACCCTAACTGAGTCTTGAGCTTCAAAGGCTTTATGGTGAGAAATCAATGAGAAATGGGAGGGCAAATTTTGGGGTACAACACCTAGCTTGAGTCATCTGAAGGTATTTGGATCTATAGCATATAGACATGTGTCAGGTCAGTTGAGAAGAAAACTTGATGATAAATTAAGTTAAATGATTCTAGTTGGAAATCATTCGACAGGAGGTTACAAGTTGTTTGACCCAATGAATAAGCAGATTGTGATCAGCAGAGACGTGATCATATGTGAGCTTAAGGAATGGGATTGAACTAAAAATGTCAAGAAAGATTCGGTGAGAATCTTGCTTGAAGAATCAAAAACTCAAGTTAAAATAGATGTTCGACAAGAGGAACCAGCTGTTAGAGATCAACCAAGTACAAACAGGCCTCAAAGAACAAGACACATGCCTGTAAGGTTGCAAGATTGTGTGATTACATCAGATGATGTGGTTGATAACAAAGGTGAACTGATGCATTATGCTTTCAATGTATATGTCGAACCTGTCAATGCAGCTGAAGCATTGAAAGATTCAAAGTGGGTGAAAGCAATAAACGAACAGGTGAAATCCATCGAAGACAACCACACTTGATCACTTGTCGAATTGCCTCAAGACAAGAAGGCAATTGATGTCAAGTGTGTATACAAAGTGAAGATGAATCCCAAAGGGGAAGTAACTCGACACAGAACGAGGCTCATGGTGAAAGAATTTCTCCAAAAAGAAGGAATAAACTTCGATGAAGTTTTTGCACCCGTGGCTAGAATCGAAACAATCAGGTTAATTATTGGTCTAGTAGAAATAAACAGCTGACACATATGTCAGATGTAAGTGAAGTGTGTATTCCTGAATGCACCCTTAGACGAAGAAGTTTATGTTAAACAACCAGTTGGGTTTGTGAAACATGACGAAGAGAGAAAGGTGTACAGGCTGCATAAAGCTCTATATGGATTGAAACAAGCTCTAAGAGCTTGAAATAAGAAGATTGATAGTTTTCTAAGGGAGAAGAAATTTATGAAGTGCACAACTGAACATGGAGTATATGTAAGAAGAAGCAATTGTGAATTGCTTATAATATGTCTCTATGTTGATGACTTGTTAATAACAGGTAGCTGCAAGAAGGAGATCGAAGACTTCAAAAGTGATCTTAGCAAGGAATTCGAAATGTCTGATATGGGTAAGATTTCATATTTCCTTGGCATCGAATTCTATAAGAGCAGTTGAGGTTTGATGATGCATCAAAGAAGATATGCAGGAGAAATTCTCAAGAGACTTGAGATGGAAGAATGCAACTCAACTTCGACACCTGTAGAACCAAGGTTGTAACTGTCGAAAGATACATAAGAAGATGATGTCGATCCAACCCAGTATAGAAGACTTATTGGGTCACTAAGATACCTTTGTCACACAAGGTCTGACTTAGCATACATTATAGGTATGGTAAGTAGATTTATGCAGAAGTCAAATGTATCACATCTAGCAGTAGTGAAGAGGATACTAAGGTATCTCAAAGGAACTCTCGACTATCGCATTTTATTTCTCACAGCTGATAAATGAAAATAATGCAAGTTAGTGGGATACACTGATTTGAGTTGGTGTAGTGATACTGAGGATCGAAAATTCACAGCAGGATATGTGTTTATGCTTGGTGGTGCATCAGTTGCTTGGAGGTCGAGAAAGGAACTAGTTATGGCATTATCATCATGCGAAGCAAAATACATAGTTGCTTCTCTTTGTGCATGTCAAGCAACATGGATGGTGAACTTGGTCGAAGAGATAAGAGTTAAAGATCATGGAATAATTACCATGAAGATCGACAACATGTCAGCTATCAACTTGGCGAAGAATCCGATAGCACATGGTCGAAGCAAGCACATCGAAATGAGGTTCTACTATCTTAGAAAGCAGGTAGAAGATGAGAAGATGAACTTGGAACACTGTAGAACTGAGAATCAGATTGCAAATATTATGACGAAGGGAGTGCATGTCGAAGTATTTTGAAGACTAAGAGTTATGATGAATATAGATATCTTAGACACAATGAATTAGGTGGTGTGTTGAAAGTAATTCCTTGTATCGAAACAGTTTGTTCGATAGAGACAGATGAGTGTAAAAAAGATTTGATTTGATTTAGAAGTGTGACAACAGTTTGTTACACACATATTTGTTTTAGATCTAGAATAAGTAAGATTTAATTTAAATCTAAAATAAATAGATTTGATTTAGTTCTAAAATAGATACTTTTGGACTTTTATAGTTTTGAGCTTTGCCTTAGGAAATAAGTTAACCTAAATCTATAAATAGATGGAGTAACCCATATTTTTGTAATCAAACTCATTGTATTAATAGAATTTGCAGCTGCAAGTGAATAATAAAATTTTCCACAATTTGTGGGTAGAGAGAAATTCTAATACTTTCCTTCTTTCTTCATCTTTTATTTTCATTGTCATTGTGTGGTGATTCCAATCTTATTCATCAAAATTAATAGAAATTCATCATTAATTTTAATAGATTTCTCACATCTCTCTCATGTATGTCCAAGAGTTAAGAAATTAAAGTTTACTAACCTGAATAGTCTATAAAAAATTTGTGACACTATACAAATTATTTAAAAAAAAAGTTGAAATAAATTATCCTTTTATTTCTTTAAAAAAACACTTAATAGACTTAAAAAATATAAGAAAGACGACTGAACTAACTAAATAGAAAAAATAAAGCTATTTAATAGGAAAGAAGGATAAAACAAGAAAGTTTTTGTTTTTTTAATGTTTTGACACATGGTAATAATTATTTTTAATAATGAATTTAATGAATATATACGGACTATATAAAATAATTTTATACTATTATTTAATAATAAAATTAACAATTAGTTATATCATTAACTTTTTTAAAAATAAAACTATTACATAGTCATGATTATTTGACAGGTTAGAATTAATTTATAACATACCATTTTCTCTTTAATAATTATTTTTGAATTATATTATATTTATCCTTTATAAGTTTTTTTATGATGATTAAAATTTATCGCCTTCTATGAGTATAAAATAAAAGGTTATTTATTTGCTTGGAGGTTTCCCTCATCATTAAGCCCTAAGAGCTAGAAATTAAGTTTTGCTGGAAAAACTCAGTTATTATCAGCTGAACCAAACACTGAAACTCTGTATTCTGAAACCCATTCTCTTTCAAAATTCAAAATTTTCACCTTCCAATATTAGGGTTAGGGTTAGGGTTAGGGTTAGGGTTAATCGCTGTTTTGAAGAAGATGCAGATAAAAGAGTTATGGAATTGCGTTCGTTTCAATTGCCCTTGAACATTCAAATACTGTTACGCCGCTCCTTCCACAACCCTAATTTCATCATGCAATTTCAATCTTCAAATATGTCTTCCCTCGGATGCCGATTCCGATTCCGTTTCCGTTCCGAATTCGATCCTTATTCAGCTGCTTCCGAAGCTTTTTCTGAACCTGCCCTTCGACTTCTCACTCTCTAGTAATCTGAATAATCGTTCGATTCCTCTCTGATTTTTTTGAGGGGGATTTTCTTGTATTTTCACGTTGATATGGATTCTGAAACTGTTGATGTCGGTGTTGTGGAGAAAGATCCAACTTTGCGTTACGCACGGGTGTGTTAATGTTATTGTTATTGTTATTGCTGATTAATTGATTTTGTATTTTTGTTTATTATTCTTGTTAATAATGATTTATTTCTGTTTGTTTTACAGTATGATGAAATTTTAGGGAAAGGAGCTTTTAAGACTGTGTATGATTCTCTCTTTATCAACTTTGGTTATTTGTTATTAGTATTGGATTTTGTTTATTTTTGTTTATTTATTTTGGTGATTTGTAATGTTATTTTAGGTATAAAGCTTTTGATGAAGTAGATGGAATAGAAGTTGCTTGGAACCAAATTTGTATAGAGGATGTTATGCAATTACCTGAAAATTTGGAGAAGTTGTATTCTGAGGTTCATCTTCTCAAGTCACTGAAACAGGAAAATATTATTAAGTTGTATAGCTCTTGGGTGGATGAGAAGACCAGGACTATTAACATGATTACTGAATTGTTCACTTCTGGGAGTTTGCGACAGTAAGTTTTGTTGAATTGAGTTATTGCTTTGTGATTTCTACTTTTGTTTCGAGTGATTGATTGATTGTTTTTATATTGGTATTGATTTGTATTGTAGGTATCGGAAAAAACATAAGAATGTGGATTTGAAAGCTATCAAGAACTGGGCGAGGCAGATTCTTCGTGGCTTGTGCTTTCTGCACAGTCACAATCCTCCTGTTATTCACAGGGATCTTAAATGCGATAACATTTTTGTTAACGGGAATACTGGGCAAGTTAAGATTGGTGATCTCGGATTGGCAATTATCATGCAGCAGCCTACTGCCCGGAGTGTTATTGGTATTATATTTGAGCTTATCTGAAAGTTTCCACTTGATTAAACTTTGTAATTGAATTATTGTTTTTTGATCTTGCTGGGAACAGGTACTCCAGAATTCATGGCTCCAGAGCTTTATGAGGAAGAATATAATGAACTTGTTGACATATATTCCTTTGGCATGTGTATCTTGGAAATCATCACCTGTGAGTACCCGTATAGTGAATGCAAAAACCCGGCGCAGATATATAAGAAAGTTACCTCTGTAAGTTTGCAGGCATTGGAGTTCATTTAGTTTTCCACGTTGTTTATGGTTTCTTTCTTGATAAAAATACTTATGCTGATTTTATGTTGCTCTTAGCTTGTGCTCATGTTTTTTTGATTCAGGGTATAAAGCCTGCTGCTCTTGCTAAAGTGAGTGATCCTGAAGTGAAGCAATTTATAGAAAAGTGTTTAGTTCCAGCATCTATGAGATTGCCTGCATCTGAATTGCTGAAAGACCCATTCCTCGCAACTGGAAACACAAAGATCCATCTTGATACCCCAATGCTGCTTAATCCCCCCATCAAGTCAACGAATCCACCAGCATGTGAGCCCCATCCCATGGAGATAGATTCAAACCTCGGGCGTACATCACCTGGCTCCTCTGTGGAACAGATTAAAGAAACTTCTCAAGTTTCAATTGTTGATCTCCTGAGGAAGACAGAGAACAATGAGTTTAGGTTAAGAGGGGAGAAGAATGCCGATCCTACAATTTCACTTACACTGCGAATCGCTGATTCTCATGGTGAGTATGACTATTTTCTTTTAAAAATCTACTCTATGCTAAATGTTATTATGTTTCTGTAGGTGGAGCTAGGAATATCCATTTTCCATTCTATATTGATTCTGACACAACAATTTCAATTGCCGAGGAAATGGTGGAACATCTGGAACTCAAGGATGAGGATGTAGCTGTCATTGCTGAGCTTATACACAACATGATTTTTGAGCTTGTGCCTGACTGGAAACCCTTATGTGCTAACCTCTCGTCTGGAACAGATAATTTGTACAGGCCTTCGGAAGCTCAGAATGGGGGACAGTTAAACTGCCATTGGACATTGGGATCAGATGGTTTTGATATGAAGGCAATGTATGAGGATTTAGGTCAGTCACAGCGAGATGGGGAAGATCAGGACAAACAAGAATCTGTTTCATCAGATATTTCAGCTGAGTACGGGGTTGCTGTTGCCACTGATTCTGGAGGTGTAGAGCCTGATTGTTTTATTCTTCATGAATGTTGCAAGGGATCGAATGGCTTAAATTCCAATTCAGATGTCAGGATTTATGGTCAAGAAGATGGAAACAATTATCAATCAGAGAACTCAGTCTCAAGTTACATGTCAAGCAAATGTTCTCTTGACAATGATCATTTAGACAGGCTACAGTTGGAGCTCGAAGCAATTGAAACCCAGTATCAGCAAAGTTTTCGTGAGCTTTTAAAGATGAGGGAGGAAGCCATAAAACATGCCAAAAAGAGATGGATTTCAAAGAAGAATGCATCAGTTATATGATGCGTTAGGGTGATTTTCTGATATTCTTAATCGATTTTATTGATTTTTTTGGTTGATATTTTTTTAATTTCTCAATCTGTCTGCCTATATTTTCAAATCTGTCAAAAATGCATTACCGGCAACTTCCGGTAAACTTAGGGGGGCGGATTGAGCAATTAACTGGTATTTTTGTTATTGATTTACATTAATTGATTTCTGGCTGTTTTTTTATCAATTGCTTTGAAGTTCTCTTGATGGATTTTGTTTTCGGTTGCAACTGGCCTTATTTTGACATTACTTTATATGAATAATGATGATGACGAAGAATCTATATTTTGCCATAGTTAGATGTGAATTTATCATTCTGAATTTTAGGTCACTTCTGCAAAAATAGAAACTGTTGCAGATGACCTAGCAAAGCATGTTTCGTTTTAGATATTGGTAGTAGAATGTTTGATTGTGTTGTGTCTTATGTTTGGTAGTTCCTCCCTTGTTTATCTCCGAATTTTATGATTACTTTCTTTAGTCTGTTTTACCCCTTACCAAGAAAATTAAAAAATCTTGCATAAATAGGTTATTCTTTTTCATCTCTTTAACACCACATCCCAATTCACTATTCTTTTATTGGTTGAAATCATATGGATCTCACAAAAGTATGTCGAATTCATAAATTTGTGGAACTATTGTAACTTTTAGTCAATAGAAGAGAGAACATATTGGAATGTGTATTAGGGTGTGTTTTTAGCATTTCTCATAGAAGTATACATGTCAAAATTATATTTTGAATCAAAGCCGTCTGATTCTTAACCCCAGAAGAATACGTATTGTTGATCAGTTGTTATCGGTCTAATTGGATTAATAAGTTGATAAAATTGTGTTAGTTTTAGGTTTTCAATGGTCATGATTTTGATTGTTTAAACATAATATTTTTGCTTGTGTATTGATTCATATGTCAATACATGAAGTTTACGGAATCATACAGGTAAACCTAAAATTTATTCACATCGCATCATTTGATTTAAGCTATAAGCTATGTTTGGATTGGATATCATACAATAAATGAAATGGAGTGAAACAAAATTAAGATTCTATTTCATCTTTTGGAAATTTTAGAACATAAAATAAATTCTTCATTTCCTCAAATTGGAGACAAGTTTTTCATTTCCCCAAATTGAAGGGAATAAATATTGTGGTAACTGATAGAATGAGATGAGATGAAATTTATATCACTCTATTCTCCTATCTAATACATTCATTTTTAAGTGACCAAAACAACTCAAATCTATTGATTTTTGAGATGGAAACAATTTTCCGCTTCATCTGATTCCTAAAGACTTACAATATATTTTTATCCAATTTTAGCTCAAATTTAGTGATTTTCAAGACAGTCAATTTTTTATTTTTGTAGAAAAAATATTGGTAGCAAATATTTTATTGAAAGATAGGAACATATTTAACATACATTTACTATTTATACAAAAAAATAATATAATATATAAATCATATTTTTTTTATATACATCGGGATAATCTTTACACGCAATTGTAAAAATTAATTTTTGAGTCGGGGATAATCATAGTAAACAACACAACTCTTTTTCAATATATTTAACACCGTTACATATTCAGGGTTAGATTTGAATCTAAGACATATAATTAAATTGAAAGAGACTATACAATTTCAACTAAGTTATTAAATCATATTTCTATTAAATTACAAGCTATTTAGACTTTTGTTATGAGCTATTTGAAACTTTGTATGATCACAACTCCAACTGTCCATTAGATAAACTCAGATCCCAGAGAAGTTTAATCGTGATATTTTAGATCACTGTTGGCATAAAAATGGAAAACCAACCACTCAAATACCGATGAATTGTTAATTTATATAGTCTAATTTAAATGATAGATTAATATGAAATGTATATATGAAAAATTAGATTAATAAAAAAATAGAAGTTAAATAGATAATAAATTGTATCACTATTCTTTTTTGGATCGTAAAATCAATCTGATCTAGAAGATACAACATTACATTCAAAGATAAATGATATAAAAATATAGTGATTTTCAAAACATATTTTTTCATGTTTGACCATTTTATATGAAATAGCTTTGAGAGCTGTCCAGTAAAATCACCATTCCTCAAACCCACTAGTGGAGAAACTCTTGTCAAATCCATACAAGCATGTTTCCCTCCTATCCACCCGTAGACTAAAACATCTGCAGACTTAAGTGTCGATTTTCTCTCAAATATGGTAGTAAAAAAATTCACAGACGACTCTTTCTTCACATATACTCCGACACGTCGAAATATATTAAACAAGACATCGCTAACAATGTTATGTTGGTATTTGAAGGTTGAAATTTCGCTACAATGAATCGCGTGTTCCTCAAATATATTCAAATATGTCTTACGACAATGAGGACAAACCTCTTCAATAGAGAGTAAAGGAATCATAAGACGGTATCTTAGAATAATACGATACTTCACCAGTGATATATGTTGGCCTATTCCATCAATAAGAATAATAAGAAAAAAAATTCTGAATATGTACGGCTTGCAAACAATCAAAAACTATCTTCTATCTTGTGATCATATTAAACTTTACATCCATGTTCTTAACAATTTTACTAAAAAGACCGCTCACTAAAACATGTATATTAAATATTGCTTAGAAGCTACACATTAGATATAAAAATAGATATATACATAATTGAGATGATGATTTCTATAGTTAACGTTTTAAATTTTTTTGTAAGTTTTCATTTCATCAGCTAAAACATTTTCTAAAACACGAGGGAATTATATGAAGGATCCTTTAAGTAGTATTTTATAGGGATTTATCGAAAGGATTCTTTCATTAGTATTTTACGTCAAACCAAATTATAAAAAAAAAAAAAATCTTATTTTGTAGTATATTTCTTTTGTAAATTTTAACATATATGAAGGTGAATTGAGAATATTTTGCTTTTTGGTGAAAATGTGATATTTAAATTCATTTGTGTGGCTTCTCTTAGCTGAATGTGATCATCCACATATGTTTTAAAATTCCCTTGAAATTTCAACTGTTTTATCAGATGTTATTCTTTTAAGAAAGATCGCTTTGACATATTGTTTCACATAAAACAACTTAAATAACAAATCATAACTGATTGAAGAATCAATTAGGTGATTTTGATTTTTCATGACTTTTATAATTTTAGTTTTTAGAAGAGAGAAAGTAAATAAATTAGAGAGAAAGTAAACGAGTGAGAGTGGTTTAGGAGAGAGAGAGAAAATTATGGTAACTCTCCTTTTCAAAGTCACCCAAATCCAATCTAAACTGATTGTGTGTACTTTCTGAAATTCTAATACAATACCGTCAAGAGAAATTGTTAGAGAGATTATAGCCTTTTCAATATTTATGTATTTATCTTTTTTTCTTTTTCTTTTCTTTTCAAGAGTTCACACTTGAGGGAATTAACCCGACTTACTATACTGCAATTAAGTTTTTAGATGTCTTTAGAGATAGTGATATATGGAGGTACACATGAGAAATAATAATAGGGAAGGTAGATAGTGTAGTGTAAAAACCAAGTAATTTAAGTGTTGTAATTGGTTAATACGAGGGTGTAACCAATTACAGTTTGGTGAAAAACACTTTTGAAAGGAGAAAAATCACTTTTGAAATTGGCTTAACTGATTACGCATTCATAGTAATCGATTAGACCTGTTTGTATTTTTGGATTTTGTATTAGCTGTAACTGGTTAATGATTTGTGTTAACCGATTACAACCACAAGTTTTTGCTTTTTCTTGCTTTTGAATTGCGTGTTTTATGTCTCAATCACTTTGTTATGCTTGTATAAGTTCTTTGGAGGTATTCTCATCAATAGTAATACAAATTATCATTCTCACCCTTAATTATCTCTCTCTCTCTCTCTCTCTCTCTCTCTCTCTCTCTCACACACACACACACACACTATCTCTTTCTTCTCGTACTCCACAGTTTATCAATTGTATGATTGTATGTTCCAACATTTGGCATCAAGAGTCTGATTTTGATCCACAAACACATAGTATGCAACAATGAATTATGTCTCCAATGATAGAGTCTCTACAAACCTACCAACCCTTGATGCGAAGAATTACGATAAATGGTGCAAGCAAATGAGGGTGTTGTTTGGCTACCAAGATGTTTTTGAAGTGGTCAAGAATGAAGTGAATCCCCTTGTCGAAGGTGCAACAGATGTACATCGAGCAACACAGAAGAAAGAAAAGAAGAAAGATTACAAAGTGTTGTTCTTGATCCATCAATGTGTGGATGGTGACAACTTTGAGAAAGTTGGTGATTGTGAGTCAGGAAAGGAAGCATGATAAATCTTAGAAAATGCATATGCAGGGGCTGATAAGGCAAATGTGGTGAAGTTACAAACTCATAAGTGTCAATTTGAATTAATTAAAACGGAGGAAAAGGAGACAGCAATTACGTGACACAAATTACGCGATTGGTGAACCAAATAAAATATTATGGAGAAACCATTTTTGAGCAGAATGTTGTGTCGAAGATCTTGCGTTCTTTGACGACAAGATTTGAAAAATTATAGTGGTGATTGAAGAGTCGTATGATCTTGTGAAGTTGAGAAAAGATGAGCTTCAAATCTCTCTCGAGACTCATGAGTAAAGGATGGAGAGAAGAAATAACGACAAGGCAAAGGCAGAGATCCCTTTGCAAGCTCAACTCAATAATAAGAACAAAAAGTCGAAAGGAAAATGGCCCATGAAAAGTAAAGGTGTAGCGGTAGAAATGTTAAGGCTAAGCCATTGGATTGAACTGACTCGCACAGATCAAATAAAAATTGCCACCGCGTTTTATTGTTTCCAAAGGAATGGGAAAAGAACGAATAACCCAAAAAACAGGGAGAGAATCTAGGTACGGGAGTTGGTTATGCAAAGGGAAGGTATTAACACCCTAAACATCTACGATACTCCGCATGAACCTCTTTGAAAAATTTGTGTATTTTGACTATAACTATTGTA